GTGTTTAGATTTATTTTATCACGCGCGCGGCGTCGTATAATATCTCAGCGAGAGGGAGAGAATTTTTATCCCCGACAATCTCTGGTTTCGCGCCGAGGAGCTAGAAATCCGCAGGGTAATTCTGACTTTCAAGTATCTCCGCAGGTGGAGAAAAAAACGTGTCGCATTCGTTTCGCAGTGTCTTAATAATCAAGTTTCGTGAAACTCGAGGGGATAAGACGCGAAGAGATTTCTTTTACAAGTTACACGGACACCACCGGCTTTTGAGGCGCGCGTTTCTCTCGGAGGCGCGCGCGCGCGTGCCCGGCACGTGTACGCGCGCTCGCGGCCCCCTTTAAATTCGCTCTTCCACATTCGTCCACGCGTTAATGCCCGCGTAAAGAGAGAAAGAGAGAGAAAGGAGAGGAAGCAGGAATAGAAGGATAGGCATGAAAGACGCGGGGAAAGACGCGGCACCCTGTGCCATCGTGGTTTTTTGAGCGTTCCAAAAATATACCCTCGACTCGGGGAAAGATAAAGAGACCGGCTGGAATGGCGGGGGATTCGGAGGCACCGTTGGCGCGAAGGTCCGAGAGAGAGAGCGAGAGAGAGAGACGGAAAAGGAGGATGCGTCGAGAGAGAAAGCGAAAGAGTCTCGGCGGCAGAGACGAGATTGGGAATGCCAGTCTTCGGCAACTAGTCATCCTAGATACGTGCTCGCGAGTGCGACACCGCGACAATTAAAGGGGCAACGCGAAAAAGAAAGAGGTAGATCACGATCGCCGATACGATCCGGCGCCTCTCGATTCTGCCATCGCGCGATTAGATTAAAGGAGATCGGCGCCGATTTTGGTGAAACGGGGGTGTATCCTCCCCTATCTGCGAGATCGGTCGAGACGAATCAAGATGACGTGCTTGTGAACGCGCAATATTGTCAATAAAGATATTGGTAATAATTTGTACAATTACGAAGGGGGGGAAATTGTAATTTCTCCAGTCCTTAGTCGACGCGACCGAATAAGAAAGGGAAGATCGTACACGGGTAATAACACACAATAACGCTTGGAGTTGCATTTTAACGGCGCTTATTGCCACTCGAAATACGAGGCGAGAGTGATGCGCGTGCAATATCATCCCCTTTGACATTCGCAGATCATCTTGCGATCGATATATCGGCTCGCGGCGACCGCACGCCGTCGACGCGCCTCGGGCGCAATCCGCAGTGACGCGTACGCGCCTAAGGATGCCCTTAAAAATCGAGAGTGGCACCTACACGGTGAATCCGGTCGCGAAAAAGAATGTCTCCAAGTTCCTCCTCTGGAAACATTGGCGACGAAGGTAGGCAGTGAGAAAGAGACGTTTGCGGAGGATTGAAAGATCCCTTGAGAATTTTAATTAAGCGAGTCCCCCCCCTGAGATCTTAACAATAAATTCCCGCTGCTCCAACAGTGATAACTGCGTGCGCTGCACTCTTAGACGCATGTCTGTTTTCTCTTATAGAAAATAACACGTTACACGTTCAAGTGTACGATATTTTTATCCGATGTGAATAACTGAATGTTACAGTAATATATAATTGACGCTTAGTGTGTGACGTTAACAATTAATTAATCCATCCTATCGACACAAACACGCAATACGTCGCAAGCGTCTACCGGACCCCTCGATTTTTCACGGTGAGCGATTAGAACGTGAATAGGCATCGTCGTGATTCATTAACGGCGCGACGCGGCGATGCGTCGCGCATTCGTCACTCCTGTCGCGTGCCGAGAGGAATCCAGGATTCCAGACGGGGTGTTCGACGGACATCGATAGACATCGTTTGAGATGCTGGATACCTCGGAGTATCAACGCGGACGTCTAACGAGAACGTCGAGGTCTCCCGAGCGACCCCGGCTGGGGGAATCGTTATACGTCCACGTGTCATAAACACTTTGACATTTTCCAACGCTGTCGGTCACCCTCCTCCTCCTCCGTCCGTCCACGTGCGTCCACGCATACAGACACACGCCACCGTCATCACATCGCCATCATCAGCGTCATCGGCGATCGAGCATGATTCGTTCACCTTGCACACTTTTAGTCTTGCTTGGCCGCACGCCTGTACCCCACGATGCACTTTAAACCGTTAACTCGCAATTATGTCAGCGCCGATTTCCGCATCGTAAACAACATTGTACAACACCGGACACGGCCTTACCTACACGCGCGACTCGTTTCTCCAATCCGCTACGGCCGCCGTGTATGTTAATACGTTACACGCACGAGTGCCGTTTGGAGCCCGGCGTATTTTTTCCCCCCCTTGTTTTTTTGACCGAGGAGCCGCATCGGTGGCAGTGAAAGCGCTAGAAAGTATATTATATGGCATTCATAAGTATTAAAAAAAAAATACGATATTTGCGAAAATTACGTAGAAATTGACGACGGTCGCGGTGCAGTTTTATGTCCCGATTGCAATTGTAATATAATTCCGCTTATACAGGATTTCGATGACGGTTTGAGAAACGAGGCGCTAAATCTCATTTTGTGTGACTTGCTCGCAGAAGCTTCCTCCGTTTCTATGTACATTACACTCTCGCGATTACATGAGCGAGTAAACGTGCGACAATCGTCGATGGACGATTTGGTTTTCTTTCCTCTCTTTTCTTTTTCTCGCGCAAGACATCGCAGAGCTGTCGCGAGTTTAATCGCCGATGTGAGAGCGATTTTGTTGCATGCATTTTGATCGCATCTGGTTACGCACCCGCTTGCGCTGATCCGCGGTTGCACATAAGAGGCTCCGTTCTTTTCAGCCGCATCCTCCGACAATCTCACATTTGCCTGTCTGCGAAACGAGAGCACGCCTGTCTCTCAAGTGGAGAATAGTCCGGCTGAAACGAACGGAGCTCGCTGCGTTCGCGACGAATGGCCGATGCTCTTGGCGCGATTAGCGCGTGCAATTAACACCGGCGCCAATTTGTCGACCAATTCAATTCGCGTGCCGGAGCTATTTGCACGAGTCTCTCGTCCGCGAGCGACAAATCGACTGTCGGAAGCTGGTGCCACTTCCGCGACGATTCTCGAGAAATTCCGACACACGTCATTTTCCAAACGCCCCCTTGCCGATTATAGATAACGACCGTTCAATTCTCGGTCGCGTCTCACCTCTTACACTTTCCCCCCCCCCCAATTTTCACCCCGAGACTCGGTATCGACTAAAAGATTTAACGGTAGGCGGGGATTGTTTTTTTCGTGCGCGTAATGCAACGCGGGAAAAACGCGATATTTGCACGGGCTTCGTGACTCGCGGCAATAAAAACCTGTGCCTATTCATTGTCTCGATATTATGCAGAGAAATACGAAAGTCACGGCGAAATTAATGAGACTGCCTGCGCATAACGTACGATGTTTGCCTTCGTTAAGTCGTGAATCCGATCGTTATTGCGCCGCAAAAAGGAAAAAAAACTTTCCACTCGGTTTTCACCGCGTTATAGGCACTAAAGACCGTCGGACAGTTATGCGCCGCGCGAATTCGATATCGCTAATTACTCTCGTTACATCGGTAATGAGAATACCGGGCTCGTTGACGCCACGTCGCGCGCAGCCTCGCGCGCGGCGAAAGAATTCCGAGGGGGTCCTCGCGACGAGACCTCGCGCCCGTGCCCGAGGAACGCCGTTGTAAAATCGGTTCTCGCTGTCTTCGAGATTCTCAACGTCGACGTTACATCGTCGTTTCTCTCGGCAAGGTCCCTCCCGAAGCCCCGCTCCGTCCCTCCCAAATGTTATACCTGCAGACTCCGGTCTGTCGAGAGGCCCGGCGTGCCACCAGTTTCCGCGTGCACGATGTTCTCGAGCTCTCTCGGTGACGCGCGTACGCGACGAGAGGAGACAATCGACTGTGGCTTATCAATTGTTCTTACGCCGTACGGATGTCGCGTACAAGGAAAGTAGCCGCGGCGGTCGCCGGCACGTGCCAATTCGTGCCACTTTCTCGCTTGCCTCGAGACGCCGGTGACACTCGCGATGGAAACAGAGAAATGCAACGTGTTCCGTTGGGGCCGACAAGAGCCACCGGAAGATGTTTTTTTTCTCTCTCCTCGACGAGAACGCGTCTCGTTATCAATCGAGGTCGTTCCGCTCGAGCTTGTTCACATTTTTGAACTTTTCTAAAATCAAGTCAGTCTACGTCGAAGTCTCGTATGGAAATACTTGGTGTCCGATAATGAGCGCACTTGGTAAAGCGTGATATTTCTTGTTGGAGGATAACTAAAGCTGTAAATGTTTCCTCGGAGATTAATCGGAGGCGAATTTTTCAAGCTCAAATGTTGAATGTTAAGGGTCGTGATCAAACACTTGACTGAAACGATATGTAGAGGGAAGTCCCCTATTATGAGATAGGCTTCTAATATCAGAGAGCAGGTTTTCGACATGCAAATTCAATCACGAAGCTTCTTTCGCAACACGATCTAACGATGAATTTTCCGCTAAACGAATTTCACTACCAAGAGCAAGAAATTTATGGTGGAACCATAGACATAATGTATCTAGACCGGGCGTTTGCCTTTATTTGATCAGTGGGGGCAGAGGTTCACGTAAAAAAGGACAAACTCTCGTTCGCATGCGAACAAGAGAGAACGAAATAGCACAAAACAGAGTTTGTCCTTTTCTACGTGAACCTCTGCCCCCGCTGCTCGATGCTCGGTCCAGATATATTATGTCTATGGGTGGAACACTCCGCTATCTCGTATTAAGAGTCCACCTCATCATAAACCTTCCGCTACGGTGAATTAGAAAGGAGCGAATAGTGAAATATAAACTTTTAAATATCAAGTGTTGTTCACGTACGTATGCCGCGGGGCGATTTTTATCAAGGGAAGATCATTTCGGTTGTTAGCTCGGGAATGTCACCAACGCGCTCACGAGAGATCGCACACCGTGTATTGAGATATGTATACGCGCGTAAATATCGTAACCGCGCCGAGAGCTCGAGTACGCTCCGACACGCGTGACAGCATACGGGATGAGAACCGGACCTTGTGCAGTGTGCACGAGGATCGCGTGGACGAGGAACGGCGAGCGAGCGGGCAGCCTCGGCGCGGCGGTGGCGAGGTGGCGGGTCTGGAGGACGTCGACGACTCCTGTGCCGCGACGGTGACGTCGTCGGTGCCCGGAGCCGGTGGCATCCGCTCGCATCGACGCACCAGGCCGCTCTCCTTGGCAGTGCAGCCCCTCAACTATCATCGCCTCGACCCGGATCCCCGACCGCCAGCGCAGAGCGTCACCAGGCACCACCCCAACATGACCAGCCAGGAGAGCATCGGCAGCTGCAGCCTGGACGTCGACCGCTCCGCGTCCGACCGATCAGGTTGGCTATCCCGCATTGAGAGACACGTAGTCGATAAGAGCTCGGCAATCGTCACCTTGTGACCGAGAAGCATTCCCACGGCTAAATTACTTTGATCTCGAGTTGTTTAATCAGCGCGATCTCTCCCAGGCTGCGTACCACTGGGAGAGAACGTGCAGAAGGAAATCTGGAGGTACATCTAGAATTCCTGATATTTGACGAAATAATTTGCCGACATGATTAACTAAGATTTCGCGGAGAGTTGCAATTGTTTTTCGTTGGATTGTGAATTTTTTAAGCGCCAATATGTAATTTAGGAAGAACAAAATTGCGGTTCTTTGGGAAAGGAACGTTGCTGCGATGACAGAGAGTCTTCCCTATCGAAGAGGACGATCGCTTCTCGCAGACAATTGTCTACGAGAGTTCGGTCGGGCCGGGAATAATTAGACGCGTCGCTCGAGCGAGGAAGTCATTCCGTGGAAAAAAAAAGAAGTGGAATGCGTTCGAGAGAACGTGGGATTGTATCGTACAGTTTATCTCTTAAACCAGTTCTTTCAATTATCCAAAAATGCGGCACTTAATTGACGCTGAAAGCCGCACGTTAAATGTCTAACAACCTCGACATTACTTAATCAGTAAAATATCCCGTCGCGTTATATCTCACTTCAGATCTTTCCGAAACACAGATATTGCATCGGGCATTGATTATTTATCAATTCTGATCTGATCTCATCGCGAGTTGGTAAAATTTCTCGGGGCAGAAAAAGGACCGCGCGCGATTAGATTTAAAGACGCGTCTCCCGTCTCTCGCGATTCCTCAGGTATTCCATGGACCGAGATCCATGCAGATTTTCGAGGCTTCAAGGACGGCGAAGTCGCCGATCTCTCTCCGCCCGTTACTTTCTCGCAGGTCGGCGGGCACTTTTTGCCCGCTCGAAATACCGATCGGATTTAGACGGTAGGCAAGTTTGCACCAAGTGCAACCGCTTCTTTTCCTCATCGTTGCCAAGGAGGCACTGACGAGGGAGTCCCTGCCTGTGAGGGCCTCCGCTCAGTGTTCCAGGATCCGTCGCGGCGACTTAGACGAGTGTGAGCTTTCTGCGGGCTCGTCGGCTCATCCTCAGTTCCGCGAAGCGCGCCGATTGATCGTAGTCGAGAACTCCAGGTGTGACCAAGCTGGATTTCCGTCCGGTTGCTTCGGCGTAGCGAACTTGGAGCCGCTCCACCGAGTCCCAGGAAACAGGGTCGCGTCGCGACCACGACGCGAATAAGATCCGTTTAACGCGAGCTGGCGTGTGCATAGTGCGTGGGCGACGGTGATGCTTTCCGAAGGTGAATGTCTCGTCGGCCGAGCAGTTGGCTCGCGGACATTCGTCGTTAATGAGAGCGCGGTGAATCGAGATTTCGTGAATCGAGATAAAAGCGTAACGGAGGGACCTATGCGTCGACGTGGATAAATTTAAACGGTCTGTTGCGATTCAGTCCGCGCAGCTCTAGCTCGCCGTCATTACGGAGCACAGCCAAGTTTACAGGATTGTGATGTCTCCGTGGCGATTTCTACGTCCTCCGTTCTGGAGCGTTTGAGATTTCGGGGCCGAAGAGGAACATTAGCGAGTGCTAGAATCGGAATTTCCGCTTTCAGAGAACACCGTGGACTCCGTGTCCGAAAAGACACTGCACAGCCTGAATCTGTCGTGCAACGGCGAACCGGTGACGTTACCCGAGAAATTGGCGAACGGTAGCAACGAGACGTTGCAGAAGTCGCATCTCACCCCCGACGAGAAGAAGTTGAACGCCAGCAATGCTCATCGCGGCAGCCCCGAGCCGGAGCTGACGGCAGCGAAGAAGCCTAGCTACTTGGGACTGGCGTGCAGTATAAGCGGCTACTCAGGAATCACCAGGTACGACAGTAAACTGAGGGAGGGATTCCGCTCGAGAGACAGCAGTCCCGGCACGAGGCTGATCACGAGGGACACGAGTCCTGCAGGTTTCAGGTGAGGCGTTCGCGTCCCTTTTTACGCCGCGACTCTCGATTGGCATAAATATGTGAAAACCCGTAGATCCAACGAGAATCTTAGCGTTCCGACGCCCCAACATCCGCCTAAGAGCCAGTCGATATCGCCGTTAGCGATGGAGAGGCAAAACGGATTCACGAACGGCGTGAAGGAGGAGTGCAAGGTCGAAACGTATCGAGAGAGTAGAAGTTCAATCGGCATGGCATGCCAGGGTTACTCGGAAGTCGACAAGGGGGTGTCGTTGCACGCGACGTTTTCCCAACTCAGCCCGATGAGGATGAGCACTTCCGCCAGCAAACGGAGCCCCGGATTGTCGCCGATGATGTCCTGCGGTCAGCAGAACAAGTCCATGGGCACGGGTTTCTCTTCGTCGAAGCAAGGTGTCACGAATCGTAAGAAAAGCTCCTTTCCATAGACGACTTTGATATGCTTGTAATTTGTTTTATATATACCTTTCTTTCAACAATATCTGAACACTGATTCTCCTTTCAATTATTAAAAATCAATTTCGATTTCAAAAGTTTCTGAATCGTAATATTTCGGGAATAATTTTAAAGGTCTCGATGAAAAGTTTAAGTAATTTATATTCGATATGTTGTATTATTAAGTGACAAAATTATAATCATGCTCATTATTTATTTACGTTATTCATTTGAAAGTGAATTCTGTATGAAATAAGTTTAATACAGACTATAATATAATATATAAAACAGACTATAATATTTCGTCGTCGTCGAGTTACGGGTCGTGTTACATTGACTCATATTTATTTATGTTTTGATAACGATTGTTGTCTGTCATGTCTTTCGATACATGTAAGAGATACGTGCACGCTCTTTAGTCCGTTTTGTGTCTTGTTTGCGAGCTCTGACATGGTTGCTGTACATTTTCTCTGATTTGCTACGTTTTCTCTGCTAGTTTCTCTGGTAAAATAACTTCTAATTTAAAACGTCTTTTTTATCTTTAATTATCTAGCGGTAAATACTTTATATGATTACTTCATATGTATATATTTATATATTGCTGTACATTTTATTTCGAATTTTTCTTATGTCGTGCTGTCAAAAGAAGCTCCTAAGATGTCCAAAACTTTTGGCGTCATATCTTTACATCAATTATTAAACACGTATATAAATGCACACAGCAATTTATTGAAGTGGGTTAGTTCCAATTGGCTCTTCTGCATTGTCATTTATATTTCATATTATTGTTCATTTCTTTATTTAATTCTCTTGGTTTTTTTTTGCAGCTTCGGGTGCATCGTTTAGCGATACTAGTATTCTAAATGGCTCGTCGGTAGAGGTTGAGAGTCAAGTGTTAAACACCTCGTCGAGCAGCGAGAAATCCTTTATTCAGCAGCGAGTGGAACGGCTGTACGGTCCAGGTGCTCTGGCGCAAGGTTTCTTCTTCAAACGCAGCACCACTAAGTTAAACACCAGCGACAGTATTTTCAATAAATCCAGTAATAACAATGACATTTCGGCAGACAACGCGAACACGGAGGAATCGTTAAAGAATCTGCCTGTCCTGCGACACTTGCGTCCGGAATTTCGGGCGCAGCTCCCTGTAGTCAGTAGTAGAAAACCCACAGACGGCACGGAACAAGTTATAAAGCCACTGCAAAGGTGAGCGTCTATACTTTAGCCTTGAATAAAATTGAAATTATCTTGTTACATTTTTCCTTTCTGACAGAATACTTTTGCATTTTCAGGATAATGCGGGCATTACGAAAACCCGAGGAGAAAAACCCTACGAATTCGCAGAACAGCGTAGTGAGAAGAATTCCGATTACCATAGAGGACGATGGACCGCAGCGCGATATGGCTAGTGAGAGCATACCCGATCAGCAGCCGGCCGCGCCGAAAGTAGTGTTACCTGTGTTGGAACCTAGCGTCAGCTCGACAAACATAGCGAAACAAGCCCAAGAGGCGGAAAAAATAGAGAAAGATGGTCATTATTTTATGAAGGTAAACTAAATGCATATATTATACAACATGAGTATTTATTTCTCGGCAATAAGAATTCATGCGTATATGTTCTGTGCTTTCAGATATTGAAACAAGAGACAGATAGACTGCTGTCGTTGGCCACATCTGCAGAGGCCGAATTAGCCAGCGGCGACACCGTTGCACTGCCAGAAGAGGCGGCTGGTAAGCTGCGATCTGCCGCGGGAAAGGCTAGACTGTTAGCTTCGCAGAAGATGCAGCAGTTTGAAGGATTATGTCAAAAGAATATCGTAAGAAAATGTCTACTCGTTTGTTTTTCACTCGATTAAATCGATAACAACTAGCGGCTCAACTGTCTTGGTATTTCAGAATCAGGTGCCGGGTGAAGAATTTCCAACGACGAACGAGGACTTGGCTGGCTTCTGGGACATGGTGATGTTGCAGGTTGTTCAAGTAAACGAACTTTTTGACCAGATAGAGGAACTAAAGAAGTCGCAATGGCAAGAGGTATGAATATTATAAATATTATTGTTGATACACGAGTCTCGGCCTGCCTGATTTTCCGTTTTACATTTCTTCATTTAAATAAAAGTCAAAATTATTCTTTCTACAACATTAGGATTTTTCGCGATTATACCTTTAGCACTTTGTTCCTCGTGCTCGTAGGTCGTGCCGGACAAGAAAACCGCGTCGACCTCGCAAAACGGTAAACGCCGAGTCATACCAGTCCACAAAGCGAAACCGACCGCGAACAGCGAGGCGAACAAAAAGGCGCGAGAGGCGAGGGAGCAGGCGCGACGACAAATGATTGAGGAACGAAGACGAGCGATGCGCTCCAATGCGCAGAACGCCGACAGTTCCGTCGAGATCTTCGCTCCCGAAACGTAACGACGAACTGTTGTACGTTGAGTCCGAATCGATACTATCCGCTCGACATTGCGACTCCTAAGGAATATTAGCGTGTACAGACCGTCAGTTCGAACGAAAGGGGGAAAAAAAAGAAAGATAGGACTCGAGCTCGTACACGAGGCCGCAACGCAATCAGCCTCGGCAAAAGAATCAAATTCGCTTGTTATAATTATTCATTCAAGATATTATCCTTCGCTGCACACGCGAATTATGCGCGGCGAGGAACAGGAAAGTATTAAGCAGATATATATCATGTAATATGTGTTGAAAAGTTGCTGAAAATTTAATGCTACTACAAATAAGAGAGAGGATATAACACACGAGTTAACGAAAAGCGCTTACGTTTCGCTGTTTCTCACTCTTTTTTTCATCGAACTTCGACGTGTCACGCCTCGAAAATTCTAGCGCAATAACGCGACACACGATGTGTCGCCTCTTGTCCATAGAGATATTTTATAAACGAAAGGTGAGATATTTACTGTAGCACTTTATCAAATTGTTTTTCTACGTTATGTGTCTCCGGATGGACATTCTTAACTTATATTTATATAAATGGTAATAAGTTGCGTGGGGCAAAAGTTAGGAACCGGCGACTGAGGAAGAAATGATTGCGTGATCCCGCAAAAAATTCTCGCCAATGGGATAATCAGTCGCATTTTAAAAGTCAAGAGATGCGTCTAGGTTAAGGATAAATAAATCGATGAGAATTTGTAACATATATAATAATTTGATATATATATAACGACTTCTGACGCAAAACGCGTTATTTACTAATTTATTCGGGATAGATCCCGTTATCGGTGATTCGCAATCTCCTTAACCTAGACAGGTAGTTTATTACGTAGCTTATATATGTAAATAGAATTAATGAATATTCACAATTTGCACAAGGCTGACTCCACGCCGAGTGTTCGCCTAATAGCTTTTTCTATCAGACGTCGATAAAGTTTCCCCCGTTGAGAGGTATTGTCAACCGCAGGCAGGCGTAAAAAGATTCCTATTATGCTTATTATATATTGCGCGTCTGACGGCGATAAATATTATTTTATTATTATTGTTCCAATTACGACCATGTGCAGTTACACCTTCGCGTCTCTCCCGCGCGAAACATAAATTGAACCCGCGTTCTCCTCAGAAATGCTCTCAGCGACGCGATGTTTCCTGGAGACTCAATGTGCCAGAAACACCCGATGCTAACGTATTTTTTTTCGACTTGTAAGATTGTGTTTGATGAATCTTGGAATATCACACATAATTCGAAACGCTCGTCGAGAGAGAAAGAAAGGTGTATCGGAACCCGCGTGACAGATGCGTTGATAATGTCCTCGCTATCGCGATGGACCTCGGCGACGAGGATCCGACTGTGATCGACGTACGTGTCACATCCGCCGAATTTGACATTCCTGCGACAAGAGTATCTCTCGTCACGACACGTCACACTCTTCTTCTTTTCGTTTAGTTTGTAGCGATAGCGTTACTCCTCGGCGTCCGATCCAATGGTCAGCGGTTCTAACGGCAAGTCATCAACCAAATAACACTCATACTCTAGGTAAATAATCACACGCGCGTCGTCACACGCCAACTGTAATCGCGATTCCGTTTATAATGTTACATTTCTTATCATAATTGCCAATTACACTCGTCTCACTCGAAATTTTCATACAAATCTGCCCGGATAATTTATTGATTGTTGATTCCCTTGGTGCCTTCATTATTTATACGTGTGTACATACATAATCGACTGACAGCCGATAATTTCGTGTACATGTATCTATTTAAGTTATACGTTCGACCGAATTTCACGAAATCTGTTGATAAATGAGAATAAAACAAATAAATTCCATTATTTATCAGTCAAGCGTGCTTGAAAACTGAGACGGCGTGAAAGATTAATCGGGCTGGGCAACAAGTGAGCTGAAGAGAAGTCATTAGATTCTCTCTCTCTCTGTTGCGACAATACGTTCACTTTACTCGCATGCAGTGAAGAAAGAAAAATGAACATCCACGTTTTACTTTACATTTTATTTTGACATATAAAAACACATGTATAAGATACAAAACAGGAATTCTCCGCGAACACCGTAGGCGTCGGTATAAATTGCGGCGGTAAGTGTGGGAAGACGGTAAGTACATCCGATACTTAATCTTCGTGCGTACAATGCGTCGCGTATGACATTCGGCGAAACGTCCATTCCCCTCCCCGAGCCCGCAATAAATTATTCGGATCGTGCAACAATTTTCGTCCGCCGACAAAACTCTCGTCTCGGTTCTGCCGCGCTATGAACACAACGAGGTGAATATTTCTGGTTGCATTTCTGGTCCTCCTCGAGTATCCCATTTCGACGCTTCGCACCGTGGCACCCGTTACCGGCGTGGCCGGACCCCTCGCTGATTTTATTTGCATGCTCAGGCTAAGCATATTAGGGTCTTTCCTTCGTTCATTTTGTCTTGGACCTTGTCGCTGGCCGTCGACTTCTCCGCCTGTCCGCTCAAGGCGGCGCAGACGAAGGTGAGAGCGACGCCGAGTGCCGCGCTATAAAACGCCCATCCTGGAAGAAACGATTCTCCTTTAGATCCGCCGGCCCTCCCTAATTTAATTCGATCGGGAATCTAATTTAACTTTATTACTTCGCGCAACCAACGGGGAGCCTATCGATCGATCTGTTCTTGGAACTGGAAATCTCTTCATCGTATTTATTGAAGAATAAAACGATAAGACGTAAAATAAGAACAAAAACTGCATCTTGAGAGGAAGAATTTAAAAGGGCGACTTTAAAAACTTATTCTCTGACTGTCGATGTTAAACACTTGATTTACCGAGACTGCAGTTAGCAAGGTAGAAGGCGTCGGACTCAGGACCGCAGATCCTCTGCACTCTCTCGGCACCCCAGCCGGCGGGATAGAGGATCATCCCGAAAAGATACAGTATTCCTGTGGAGATAAATGCGCGCAACTTAGAACGACGCACAAAGCGTGTACAGAACGAGCCGTGTTTCCCGATTATTCAATTTGTCAGAATTGCGACAATGGAACCGCTTTTTAAGTACACGCTCGTTGATTATTCCGGGCACAACCTTTCGCTACAATGGATTGGTTGCGTCATGATCGCACTCCCGGGATACCATTGTCAGGCTGAAAGCACGTTACGCACGCGGAATACTCAGCTGCAACGATCATTGCTTTCTAAGATCTGCGTCATTCTTATACTAACATCGCTGACAAAAGGCCAGAGGGTTCTGGCTCTGCATTTGGAGCAAAGTAGTTTCTATGGAGGAAGCGCGTCGGGACTCGAGTCCCCCCCCCTTACGTGCGAGAGAAAGAAAAATACAAGTCTCTCCTCGGAACGTATATAAAAGTATATAAAAGTATCGGCCATCGTATTCGAGGATTATTTCGTCCGCGGGCTAAGAAGCTTAGTCGGGATTTCATCGCCTCGTCATCTCATCATCTCGAGCCTCGCCTCCGTCGAGGAGCAAACGTTTTACACACCGGCAACGGCTTGCGCCACTCCCGCCAGATTGAAGATGCTCTTGCGGCCGATGCTCTGCACGCAGCATCCGAGCAGGGCGGCTATCACGGTCACCGACATCGTCGCCAGGCCCGCGGACAGGAAGAACAGGGCCGCCTTCCAGCATCCCGGGAAGACGTTGGAGTCCGTCGCGAAGCCGTCGACGTTGAAATTGGCGCAGTGCTTCCTGCCGTATAATCTCGTGCAGCGATTGAAGATCCCGACGGTCGGCGTGTACGGTTCCGTGTCGTTTCCTAAAAGGGCAAACCAACGAAAGACGATATCAACGTCTGCCGATTTGTCTCGACAGCGAACGAGAGCTGTATCTGCTGGGTCACTTTACTCGACGACCCTTCGATTATGTAAAATACGCAACGAAGGCTGCTTTCCTTTTTGGAGAGCACAGTCGGCATTTTTTACACAAAAATTGACACTTCGACTCTGCTCGGGAGGAGAGTCGCAATGGATTTTTGACCGAAGAACGCATCCGCTCCGAGTATTTCGATAGAATCTGTTTTCGACAAAATCTTTCCTTAAAATCCTTGCTATTTCACAGTGGCAAACTGAGTGTGTTAACTCATGGTGTAAAGATGCAAGGTGAAACGTTGCGCATGTAACCAACTTTTGGGACAGATTGTTCATTGGTTCTTCCCGCATTCAACCGCAATGATTTGCAATTTGAAGATTGTGGCGAATTTTTAATTGGCCAATTCGGTAGTTTGGGCCACTTCTGATTGATCGGCACTGCGCATCCACCGGATCGCTTCACCTTGTATCTTCACACCATGTGTTAACTTGTGTCGATTTGTGTGAAAGGAAAGCAGCCGAAGAGTCCCCGAGTCATCTCGTTCGAGTTGAAGCGACGCTCACTTGTGTCCTTAATCGTCGGCGGTCCCACGAGCCATCTCGGAGTGATAAGGCCCGATAAAACTGCCATCAACGCTGCCAAAGACAAGAGCGTCCATAGCAGGCTGCGTCCAGTGACTATCACATAGCACATACTGCCGACCGATTGGTTTCCTATGCCATACTTAAAACGCTCGACCGTGTCTGAAAAAAAAAACATATCGTAAATTTCATACTCCACGCTGGCCGTAAACGCGGCGATTATAATTGACGAGCGGGAATTTGGAAAAACTTTTTCCGCGCAAATAGGATTCGATGGCGGCGATTAACGCGATCTTGTCGCCCCCGCCGTAATTCGATCTTAATGAGCGGCCGCGCGATCCAGTGAACGCCGGAATAAATGCCTTTCACATTAGTATTTCGAGGAAAGCGGCCGCGCGGCCGCTGTTATTCGAGGCTCTCCTTCGCCGGGCGCGAAGCATTAAAAGCGTGGTTGGCGATACGGACCGAAACACGTAGGATACACAGATCTCGGGTTACGGCGCGGCGGCCAGCAGTTCCGTCTTTTTATTCTGATTTCACGGAAATCGTGAAAGGGCACGGGGGCTCCTCGCCGGGCACAGAAATCACTCGATCCGAGGATCTAGCTCACGGCACGGCGTGGAATCCCCGACGAACGGACGCCGTAAATACGCTTCGTTCGTGATCGACTCTGGGACTTGGGGCCCTTGCGGTCGCCCCGGAATGACAGCGGTCTCTTAAAAGCACCGCCAGTAATTTCCCCGTCGATCGGGGGCCACGTGGATCGAAGTAAAACTTTGCGTAGAAGTTGTAATTAATCGATGAACTTGACTCTGGAGATCTTCCAGCTTGCGATAGATTTAGTGCCGGGAAACGCGAGAATTTCTGAATATAGTTTGAGGATACCGAGCGTTTCTAATTTATCGCGCGCGCGATAATGAAAATATCCTTTTAAAAAAAATGATTCTACGAAAGGGTTAATTCGAAGCCTCGAGTAATGGCTACGGCCTCTCTTCCCGGCGTGTTCGTGGGCGGCGCCGCCTTTTCGCCTTTTACGCCACACGTCCTGCTCCAGACCACTCTCTCGCCTCTCGAGATTCCCTTGTGCTCTTCAAACCCGCAAACTTTAATCGCTCTGGCCCTCTCACCGCGCCAATCGAAAGGTCGACTTTGATCTCGACCGGCGACGGGACGACAAGACGCAAAGCGCGACCCGTATATTAAAAAGAGCCCCTTCGGAACTGGGAATCCCTCGTGCAATCTCGCGGATTCGCGAGTTTAAAGATCCGATAGCTGCGTGGTAAGGATCCGCTTTCCAAAAAAACCGTCGGATTTAATTACAGAGACAAAATCCATATCGTGTGAGACGGAAGAAATTTGTCGGCGCTCGGTGCACATGTATTGTGGTCGCTTTTATTTCCGTCGCCCCTCGCCTGCGACTCGCACATCCACTTCACCGAGTATGTTTGCTTAGGATCACCCCCTAATCGCTGTTTATATTTGCGCCGTCTCAAACCTCGGAACACAAACGAATCTCTCCCCGAGAGATGACGTTGATGTATCGCGAGAGTGTCTTAAGGAAACATTCCTTTAAGCCAGATTAATCAATCTCTTTTGCATCTCGATGCACCCACGAAGATCGCGAGCTTAACTTTTTTTCGGGACGTCGAGTCATTATTTTCAGCGAAATGGTTACGTAGTAACACAAAACGTAGTAACAGCCACGGAACAAAGTAAGGTAAAATATTAAGTACGGAATTTTCCATTACGTAGGCGGGCCAACGAATTCTCAACGTTTTTTTTGTTGTTTTTCACTCGGCGCTGTATCGTACGACGTTACGCGGGCCAATGTTTACCTGAAGGTCGCCGCGTTATCATTCGCTCGCCGAACGTCGAGCCGGCAAGCAGTGGCGAGAGTCGCTCCGTGCGTATTATTACTTTTGCGTTATCGGTCTTCAACACGCGATCACGATGAATGGAGGGATAAAACGCTATTGATTTGCACACCTTTATTAGTAACAAATAACGTTCCTCGATTAATTATCAAGTTTCTACAACTTGTAGTGAGAAACGAATTGTTGAGGCGACGGCTCTTTATCAACGTGTACATAGATATTTCACGAGACTAACTCATCTAAAATATGAAGGTAAACCGTGGTACTTTGTCGCGGTTACATCTCGTTTACGCGCTTTTAATTATCTATCGATTTCGTGTAATCTGTTCTATTTTCGGTCTCGATTAACTGTTGCAATTCACAGCAATTATTTAGCGCTGAAAATTTCGGTCAAATAACTTATTTCGAGGATTAGATTGAATGACAAAGATTGCAAAATATCGCTTCGTTGCGGACTAATAACTACTTCTTTACCGCGGATTATGCCTCCGATGCTCGCGTTGCATTTTATATCGTCAATTCAATAGTGATTTATCCATTCTTCCGAATCAAAAGTGCAAGTTGTTAGTTTGAGTAATTTGTATGACAGAAAGTCACGCGATATTTGCTAATAATATTTTGTGCGTTTCGCGGTATTTCACATCGCGTACGGGAGTGCCCGAAATTTCGCGCGAACGATTATCTTCGCGAGTGAGTGTTGTGTAAGTGCCACAAGGAAATCTGAGAGGAGGAGGAGGAGGCTAAGGAGGCATCGGGCAACGGCGGAGAAATCGTGAGGTGTCTATGTGATATTATTGCAATATTATAATATTACCGATATTAGATATATTTATGTAATATTATGTGCTGTGTGAATAGCGACGGTTCCTCGGGCTCCCGATACATTCGTCAATTAGCGATAATTAATCGGCTGCCATCGGGCTGTCTCGTCCACTTAAACCGATTTTCCGCCGCGCGTTTAGCTCTTTGTTTCGGTGGCCCGCCTTCGCACGTGATTGGGAATTAATGAGCCGTGCCGCAATTGACAATCTATGGGAACGGACGCGGACGGGGAGAGACGAGTCGCGGTGGACGCGTGGGCCGGCTGCTGTCCGCGCGAGTCTGCGCGACGGGCAGCTGCGCGTTTTTCCTTTTTATTTTAATTATACCGGCTTCATTGTTACGTGTAGCGCGCTGCCACGCCTACTCGCGATGCGATACGGGCCCCCTTCGCCCGAGACCGCGCGCGCGCGAGCGCGAGCCGCCGCGCTGGATCGTGAATTAATCCTCAAACTCGTACCGGGATCTCTCGGCGCCTGCGGCGCGGAATTCGGGCGGAATCCTCCGCAACTCGCCGTCACTTTAGTTATCGTCGTTTATCCCGTATTTCTGAACGCAGTCGTTGCGCAGGCCTGGTTTTCACGTAGTTCGCGAGCGCGTTTACGCGAGGAAAGAACGGGTTTATCGCCGCGGCGAGATGGACCGCGCAGACACCAGAGAGATCTGGGCTTACAAGCAGATTATTAGCACTCTGCGTTGACTTACGGCTTTTCGGCCGTGAGTTACCGGACAGAGGACCCATTGGCGGATGACTAATGGTCGGAGCGTCTGTGCAACGGCTGGAAAGGAAGAGGGAGGATATTGCATTCCGCGAAGATGCGTGAGCCGAATGAGAGATTCAGATGCCACCCACGGACGAGCCCAAATCCGAAATATATTAAGTACATAATCTTTCGCGAAAGGGGTAAAGATGTAAAAGGACCAGGGGAAAAGACGGAGTCTTAATTTATCGCTCGATTGCATAAAGACGTTAAGGAAGTTACGGAAAGAGAAACGGCGCCCTAGCAGACTCTCGCAGAGGATTCGTTTGTCTGGAGAAGAACAGGATCTCCCGAAAGACGATCCTACAATAGAATCCGAAATACAATAATCTTTGCGAAAGGGGTAAAGACGTGAAAGCAGAATGACGGAGTCTTAATTTATCGCTCGATTCCATAGAGATGTTAAGAAAGTTATGGAAAGGAAGATAACGTCCTACACTGAGAAAAATGACCGATTAAATATAATCGGATAATCCAATTACAATAACAAACGGATATATCCAATTAAATACTATATTCGATGAAAAATATGAACGGTTTTCCAATCAAATTTCATCGGTAACTGCATTTCATCGGATAAATTTTATCGGAAGTATCCATAATTTAATCGGAACACGTAATCGGAAAAATTGACCATCGGAAACGCTATTTAATTGGTTTATCCGATGGAAATTTTTCTCAGTGTAGCGGGTTCTCGTAGGGGAGGATTCGTTTGTCCGTAGAAGAACAGGATCTCCCGAAAGACGATCCTACAATAGGATCCGAAATAAATAAAATACATAATCTTTGCGAAAGGGGTAAATACGTAAAAGCAGAATGACGGAATCTTAATTTATCATTCTCGATTGCATACACTGAGAAAAATTTTCATCGGATAAACCAATTAAATAGTGTTTCCGATTGTTAATTTTTCCGATTAAATTATGGATACATCCGGTGGAATTTATCCGATGAAATGCAGTCACCGATGAAATTTGATTGAAAAACCGATCACATTTTTCATCGGATATGCAATTTGGTCGGACATTATCCGTTTGTTATTATGCAATTGGACTTATCCGATTATATTTAATCGGACATTTTTCTCAGTGTAGAGATGTTAAGAAAGGATGACGACGTCCTAGATTAAGAGTAAGGGAGGTTTCGTTTGTGTGGAGAAGGACAAGAATCTCCCGAAGGACCCGTCGATGGCCGGATTAACGCAACGCGAGTCGTCTTGATTGTTTCGAGAGCTCCTCCACCCGCGGCGTTTGAAAACAAGGCACCTACTCTCCTTACATAATCTGCACCATATGCGAGGCAGCTGTCGGACAGGTGCTCCCTTGCATCTCGCGTCTCCCGTCTTCGTCCTCCCCCTTCGTTCTCCTCCACGAAATCCAGTCTACGAGGAGAGAAGTGGAGAAAAAGCGAGGAGAGGTGGCTCTACCTTTTTCTCTTATCTTCTGTACCTTCGCCACGCCAACGCGCGTCTCGTCCGCCGTCGATTTTTACCCGTGGTGATTTATCGCGATTCCGAGGGCGGTCGTTTACCGAACGACCAACCGGGTCCCACAGGGCCCTAGGCCGACCCGTGCCTAGCGTGCGACCGATCTCCCTCCATCGGGGTGATCTATGTGAGACGTAATTAGCCTCCTAATCGCGCTATGAGTCATTCGACGTGGATCACGTAACTAGGACAAGTGGAATTTAAACACGCTAGTTGATTATT